GCCAGGAGCTTACTGCAAGGTGGGCTTTAGCAGTGCCATCAGCCATCTGTACTCTAGTGAGAGGGAGCCCTGACAAAGAGCACTATCAGCCATTTACACTCTAGTGACAGAGAGCTCACTGAAAGAGACTCCGTTCATTTTTCTGTGAGACAATCTCACTCTGTTGCCCAGGATGGAGTGCAGTGGCACGATCTTGGCCCAATGCACCCCCCCACCTCCCAGGTTCAAGCAATTCTCCTGCCTTAGCCTTCTGAGTAGCTGGGACTACAGGCACGCCCAGCTAATTTTTGTATTTTTAGTAGAGGCGGGGTTTCACCATGTTGGCCAAGCTGGTCTGGAACTCCTGACCTCAGATGATCCACCAATTTCAGCCTCCCAAAGTGCTGGGATTACAGGCATGAACCACCACATCCAGCCAGAGACTCCATTCTTGACAGCTTCAGCCCCTTTATTGAAGACAGGACGACAGAAGGCAGGGGGTAAGAGTTCAAGTCAGACACCTCATTCTTGGCAAAGCAAGAACATCTCCAGGCCGGGCGCGGTGGCTCACGCCTGTAATCCCAGCACTTTGGGAGGCCGAGGCGGGTGGATCACGAGGTCAAGAGATCGAGACCATCCTGGTCAACATGGTGAAACCCTGTCTCTACTAAAACTACAAAAAATTAGCTGGGCATGGTGGCACGTGCCTGTAATCCCAGCTACTCAGGAGGCTGAGGCAGGAGAATTGCCTGAACCCAGGAGGCGGAGGTTGCGGTGAGCCGAGATCGTGCCATTGCACTCCAGCCTGGGTAACAGGAGTGAAACTCCGTCTCAAAAAAAAAAAAAAGAACATCTCCAAGCTTGCTCTGCAAAAGGAGGGTGTCTTGAGCCTTCCATGGGATGCTGACTGGGGAACGCCAGGGCCGGGCATCGTGTTGAGACAGCTTCCAGCCCAGGGCCAGACCACTGCTGGCAGGCGTGGGGGATGGATACTGGCCAGCACTATGGGGATGGGGCAAGCTGTGCTTTCATACACCCTACAGCCACTGTCCGCAGATTCAGCATCACACCCTGTTGGGGGTTTACAAACATCAACTACATGCATCTAAACATCAACCCAACAGGGCAGGCACTTTTAGATCCCCGTTTTCCAGATGAGGAAACGAAGGCACAGAAGTCTAAGGCAGTGCTTCTAGTTCTACTTTAGTGTGGTCAGGAATCTCTGGGAACCTTGTTCAAAGGCAGATTGCAATTCAGTAGCTGTGGGGTGGGGCCTAAGAGTCTTCATTTCTTTTTCTTTTTTTTTTTTTTTCTTGACATGGAGTCTCACTCTGTCAACCAGGCTGGAGTGCAGTGGTACAATCTTGGCTCACTGCAACCTCTGCCTCAAAGGTTCAAGTGATTTCCCTACCTCAGCCTCCCCAATAGCTGGGACTACAGGCATATGCCACCACGCCCAGCTAGTTCTTTGTATTTTTAGTAGAGATGGAATTTCCCGGTGTGAACTAGGATGGTCTCAATCTCCTGACCTCGTGATCCACCCACCTTGGCCTCCCAAAGTGCTGGGATTACAGGCGTGAGCCACCACGACTGGCCCTTTTTTCTTTCTTTTTTTTTTGGGGGGGGTGGGTGGGAGGGACAGGTTCTTGCCTTGTCACCCAAGCTGGAGTTCAGTGGTGGTGCAATCATGGCTCACTATATCTCAATCTCCTGGGCTCAAGGGATCCTCTCAACAGCCTCCCAAGTAGCTGGGACTACAGGCGTGTACTACCATACCCAGTTAATTTTTTTATTTTTTGTAGAGACAAGGTCTCACAATATTGTCCAGGCTGGTCTCGACCTCTCAGGCTCAAGCAATCCTCCCACTTCAGCCTCTGAAAGTGCTGGGATTACAGGCTCAAGATTCTACACTTCTAAGGAGCTCCCAGCAAGGCAGCTGTCCCCGGCCCAGGGAACACAGCAGTAGGCCGGCTTGTACTAGCCCATCTCACAGCCCAAGGCTTATGAGTGCAAGAAGTGGAAGGGAAATTGGACAGGGGCCGGGATGAGGCGCTACAAGAGTAACGAAGTTACCTTAGTGCACCTGGGTTCCTCCTCTGTAAACAGACATAGACACTGAGCTGACCCATCCCTGTCCCCAGCGCAGCTGAGCCCTAGCCTGGCAGAACTGCGGGCACGTGGGTCGAGAGGCGGAGCGTGTCAGCTGAGCCCAAATAGAAGGGTCCCTAGTAGCGACAGAGACTGAGAACTAGCCAGAGATTGACGCAGCAGCTTTGAGCTGGCCTAGCCACATTCCCCTCTATTGTTCCTGGGAGAGCCGGGGTCTGGCAATCGAGGAGTGGAGAGAGAGATGGGGGAGGGACAGGAAGGGGTGGACGTTGGAGAGTTCAGGAGGAGGGATGGAGGCAAAGGGGAGGGGGCCGCGAGGCTGGTGCCAGCCCTCCGCTGGCCAAGGACCCAAGGCCAGCAGCACCAGCCACAGGGAAGTGCAAACAGGCGGGCGGGGAGGGTGCGGCCCCACGCCCACGTCCACCCGGAGCCCCCTCCCAGGCCCAGGCCAGCTGGGAATAGCTCTTCCGTCCTCCTCCTCAGGAGCTTCCCAGTCCTGGGAAGGGGCCGGAAATCTGCGGAGTACACCGAGAACCCAAAGGAATGTCTAAGATTGCCGCTGCCTCTGCTCTCATTAGCACCCCTGGAAGGCCTCCACCGGTCGGGCGACCCCGCCCAGCAGAGAAACAGTCACCCCACCGCCACCACCCACCTGGGACGCTGCTCCCGCCCCAGCTCTCAGCCTGGACTGCCCCTCCCGGGGGAAGCCCAAGCCCTCCTTCTCACCAGCAACCCCACTCTACACTCTTTCCCCATTCAATCTTTCCATCCTTCCCTACATTCTCGGGGGTGGGGGGGTGGGGGGGGCTTTGGCTCACACCTGAGATTCAGCCCTAACTGCTCTCCACTCCCTCTGTGACCCCTGCCAAGCAACTGCACAGTCCCACGTCTGAGTTTCCTCTTCTGTCAAAGGGGACAGCAACGGTGCTGTGTCGCGGAAGTTGTGCAGATGGTGCCACGACAATGCCAGGCGCACGGCGGGCTCAGTCAACAATAGTTGTGCGGCTGACGGTGGGACTGTCAGGCCTGGGCCATCTGAAATCCCCTTCCCTCCCACTCCTGCCCCTGCTGATGGAACGGAAACCAAATGCGCTGGCTTTGACACTCCGAGGAACAAAGACCGTTCCCCCACCTAGGGGACCCGCCGTCAACCACCCTCAACCCCACCCCAGGGCCCCACGCAGGGCCTAGCTCAGCTCATTTGAATTCCAAAGCATCTACTCTGAGCCGGGATCTGCGACTCTTTCTTGCCCTGGAGGGACCAGTAACGAGAACCCACGGTCATCACCGATGCCACCCAGGGAGTGCGGAGGGCTGTGGGGTATCCAAGGAGGACCCGAAGCCCAGAGGAGCGCCAAAGGCCCGGAGAGAGGGAGGACAGAGGCAGAGAGCGGCTGGACAAGGAAATGGCTGAAGATAACAGGGAGCCCTGCTGAGAAGTCGGGACTTAGACGACAATGGCACTTCAGTGGACGATTTTCAGCGGCGGCGGGGGAGGTGGAGGGTTGATCTGAGCGGATTGGTTTTACAAGTTCGCTCTGGCTTCAGCATGGGGAGCAAACGAGAGGGGCAAGACTGGGCACAGAGAGACTGAGAAATATTAAAAAGCAAATTAAAAAAACATAGTGGCGCAGGACGCGAGGGCTCACGCCTGTAATCCCAGCTCAACATTTTGGCAGGCCGAGGCGGGCGGATCACGAGGTCAAGAAATCGAGACCATCCTGGCCAACAGGGTGAAACCCCGTCTCTACAAAAAATACAAAAATTAGCCGGGCGTGGTGGAGCGCG